CGTGTGCCTTGTATGCGCTTACCAGGGCGATGGGCGCCTGCAAGATGCTGTCTGGCGTCTTGGCCTGCGTTTTTTTCGTGGTTAGGTTTGTTGTCTAGAGCGCCGCAGAAAAAAGAAGAAGCTTAATGGTAGTCAAGTAAGAATGCAAGCAGCACGACACGGAAGCATCACCCCAGGAAAGGAACAAAATAAGCAACACGCGCCTCTGCCAAGCATGTCCGATGATTGGCATCGAACGACATGACTGGCTCCCCCCCCGAGGCGGCATAGTGCATGGCTTACTACAAAAGGTTCGTTTAAATGGAGGAGCCATGCCCCGGGCCTCCCCTCTTGTGTTTCTATTTTTCGCATGTGCGATGTCGCGGTGATGGGCCACGTTTGTCGAGGCGCAGGATGGCATTGGCATTGGGAATGAGGTCATGATTGAACGACGGCACGGGGTTGGAAAGCGAGGCGATTCGCGGCCAGATAGGCTTGGTTCCAGGGCAATCGCAGCGCTTAGTACCTGAGGATTTTTTTTATAGGGCCTTGTTGGTGGTGCTCGCACGCTGTACTTTGTACTCGTGGATGAGCGCGGGAATTTGGTGGCGTGGGGTAAAGCGAGATTGATCAAGATGAAAGATGGAATATCCGTACATGTAATACCCATAATTATAATAAAGTATAACCTGTTCGTACTTTGGTCGTGCATATAGTTTTTATGACTTGTGTCTTTTTTGTTTCTGTTTTATCCGCGTCCCGGCCTCCCGTCATCTGACTGTGTAGTATCTCTCCAAACTGTGCACTGCTCAGTTTTCATCTTATGCCGACGACTTGCCAACGATACATACCTGGGCCCTTGTGCTTGTACATGCTACCTCTCATTTTCGATCTGGTCTTTTACCACCCCCCGGCAAGGTTTCTGATGGACCACACGCCCATGCTGCACGCCCCCTGGAGGACAGGACAGGACACTTGCTCGCTGCCTGGGCCGCCAACTACAGCGCGCTACAGGCCCCCAACCACCGCCGTCATTGCTGGCCATATCCTCTTATTTCTTATTACAGCCTGCTACAGGGCCTGCACGCCCCCCCCACAGTCTCCCCCTCCCCCCAAAACATCCCTAAAGCTCGCCATGCTCCTCATAAATGCCTCCAAGCCCACGCCCACTTTTACGCTTCCAACTCGCCGCTCGTCCTATCTACTATTTACTTTCCTCGCCATTTTCTTTTCCTCTCTCGTCTGGTGGAGTTTTTGTTTATCAACTCTCCCCTCCGTCCTATATTTCTCTCTATCCTCTTCTCTCTCCGGGGTTTTCTTTTTTTTCCTTTGGTTTCTTCCGTCTGCTTGTTCCTATGGATTCACAGACGTAGCCTCGCCTTGCTTCGTCCACTCCCCCACGCGTCGCCTACTCTCGATACCTGCACTAGCAGCCGCCAGCAGCTCAAGAAAGAAAAAAAAAATACGGAAAAAAGACCACGGTTTCATCGACAATCCTATCAATTTCATCCTTCAGATTGACCTTGTCCTCGGTGCAATACTACGACGACAGCCAGTCAGACACCAAATCACCTATACAGCTACCCCAGCAAACGGACATTTCCACCGGGAAAAGCGAATCCTTTTCCCGAACAATCCTCTCCTCGTTCATCTCTACACTACAGCTCTTTTGTGGCTTGCATCGAAAGCCTGCCCGTCTCCCACCAAAGGATCTTCTCGGCGTCTCCGCGGAACTATCCAAGCTTCCTCGTCTTGGTGGTGTGCCTCGCTCTCCAACAAGCAACGCCTCCATCCAATCCATCCAGCCCATCACGGCACCACCCAGCAGCAACAGGGCTTTCCCTCGCCTCGCCTGCCCGCAGCGACCCTTTCCGCCTTGTTAGCGCCCATTGTCCCGCTTCTTCGCAAAAAAGAGGACAAGCCACCCCATCAATTACGTCGTTGGGTGCCGCTAAATTCCGCGACCACCCACTATCTCGAGGCCATCTCACTGGGCTAATCACCGCCAGCCCACTCTTTTCTCGCCCTCTCGCTCGCCCGTCCTCATCCTCTTGTCACTTATTAGGGCAGAGGCATTTCTAGCGCGTTTTTTACGTCTTCTGGGTACCTGGAGGCTGTAACAGCGCCGCCCGCTCGATACCTTACCTTTGTCGACCCCTCGGAACCTCTCTCAGCTCGCTGTTGGACGGCACCACTTCACCAAACTCACTCGAGCGCGACACGGAAACCCCCACCAGATACCACTAGACCAGGTGCATCAACTCTCTTCCTCGCTAGTGGCACGCCAAAAGTCAACTTGCCCGCCGCCCTCGTCTCCGTCAGGCCTGTCTGCCCACCCACTCGTCGCCTCGCTCTCTCGCGCCGTTCGCAGCCTCCGCTCTCGTTCAGTGTCCAATCCTGTCCGGTCCGTCACACATCGCACAAGACGACCACGCTTCCTTCCGGGCTCGTGCAGTTGGCTCCAGACCAAAAGCATAACTCAAATCAAGGTATTACGATACGACGAGGCTTGTCCAGCGCCATCGGCAGTTTCGCATTACAATCATGGCTGCTACACTATTACGCCCAGTTGAACCCCAGGCCATGGCGCCGCCCGATTCAGGTCAGTGCATTTCTCTTTCTCCGGTCTTTACTCAGTCCTCGACCGACCCAGCGCCCACCATTCCCTCGCCACTCCTTCTGCCCACGCTTCGCGCTCTCTCACCACTCACAACCAGCCCTCAGCCTCCATGCCCACTATTCTTATTAGTCTCTTGGTCCGCCTCGCCGGTCTACTGGCCGCCTGCCCACCTGCCCAGCCAGTCCTCAACAGACAACTGATGAACGGCGTTCCCCTGCTTATTGATCCATTCTCATCCTTGCCCAGCGCCGCCTGCCACCTGCCTGTGACGTGATTCCGCAGCTTGTCCCGCCTTTGTGACCTGGCCCCTGTGTTTTCCTTTCTCCAAGTCCAAGCCAATGCAACTTCTATTCTTCTTCATCTTCCTTTCTTTTCACTCGATTGCCCTTTCATACTGATGCTTTAGCCGCCACAACAGACTCTACGGATGCTGCGAGTTTCCATGATCGCCACTTCTACTCGCATAGCTTCTCATCCCCACGCCAATACCCTGCCGACATCCCTCATCCTATCCTCGAGGAAGAAGCCGCAGAATCGGGAAGCGAATCCCCTATCGAACCTGTTACTCCCGTTAGCAGCGGCCGTCATTCCCAGGATTTTACCAACGTCTCGCAGTTTGACCAAAATCTCACCTTGACGCACTACAGCACTGCTCAAAATCCGCCCACCTCCAATCCTAAGAAAACCCCTCAGCCTCAGTTGCCTATAGACCAGACAACCCCCCGGCAAACTCCCGCACGTGTGATTCGTCGCGCCCGCACTATTATTGGTAACACAACTGCTCCTACCCTCGAACCTGCAACTCCAACGCCAAAGCAGTCCGAACCCGAACCCGACGCACCGCAAACCGGCACCCTCACTCGTCGCTCTACCCGTGGCTCTACCTCCAGTTTCAAGCGCACAATGACGAATCTCTTCCGCCGCTCGTCGTCCGCCATTGAGCGCGACGCGCCAGTCTTCGACTCTAGCACGCCCAGTTCAACAGACAGCGTTTCACATCGCAACCAGGCCCCGACCAGTGCCCCGCGCAGCATCCCAGCCACAGAATCCTACAAGACTCAGTCTACGGCGTCCAATTCGCCTCCTACGCCTGGCTCGCCCTTGATGATGGCCCCCTCAAATAGAAGCAATATTTTTGGCAAGTCGTTGCCTGGGCCCGAAGACTTCCAAAAGAAGAGCCGCGCCTCGACCGGCTTCACTCTGCGCGGTCGTGCTGTCAACTTCGTTTCGCGCGGCGGACGTAATGGAAAGACTCCTCGTCGTGCTAGCAGCTTCGACCATGGCGCGGGCGCGCCCGGGCTGCCCCCTCAACAGCACGCCGGAAATAAGATGTACCCTGCGGAGCGACAACCTTGGGCCCTTCCTCCTGATGCAGGCACTGGTACCAAGGCTCGTCGCATGAGCCTCAGTCTGCCTGATGACTTTATGATTGATACTGCTGAGCTTCTTGCGGAATTCGAGTATCAGCACAAGTTGCTTGGTCGTCACGGCAAGCACCTGGGCAAGGGCGCCGCCTCCAAGGTTACCCTTATGGCCCGCAAAGGTTGCCCCAACGAGCTCTACGCTGTCAAGGAATTCCGTGGCAAGTCCAAGAGCGAGAGCCAAGACGAGTATGAAAAGAAAATCAAGTCGGAGTTTAGCATCGCTAAGAGCTTGCACCACCCCAACATTGTCGAGACTATTCGCCTCTGCACCGACCACGGCCGATGGAACCACGTGATGGAATACTGCTCCGAGGGCGATCTGTTTGGACTCGTCCAAAAGGGCTTCTTCAAGGGCGACGCAAAGCTGAAGGACCGCCTCTGCATCTTCAAGCAGCTCGTCCAGGGCGTTGCTTACCTGCACGCCCACGGAATCGCCCATCGCGACATTAAGCTCGAGAACCTGCTCATTACCAAGGACAGCAAAATCAAGATTACCGACTTTGGTGTTTCCGAGGTATTTACTGGTACACACCCTGGGCTTCGCGAAGCCCATGGTCTGTGCGGCCAGAACATGGGGGATGTTCGTCTCTGCAACCCTGGCATCTGCGGCAGTGAACCATATATTGCACCCGAAGTTCTTGCCAAGAAGGGCACCTACGACCCGCGCGCACTCGATGTCTGGGGTACCGGCATTGTCATGCTCTACCTCAATTTTGGCGGCGCCATCTGGTCACGCGCTGAGCCTGGCAACACGCATTACGATAAGCTCGTAAAAGGCTGGGAGCGCTGGTACAATAGACATCCCGACCCCGAAGCCGCCATCACCGACACGGACTACCCCAAGTGCCTGGCCCTCGACGTCGGGGTCAACCCTCCTGCGCTGCGCCGCGTGCTGTTGCAAATGCTCAACCCCGACCCCAGCAGGCGCATTAGCATTCACGAAGCGGCCAGCAACCGATGGATGAAGAACATTGAATGCTGCCAGGTCGAGTCTTATGACGACCCAACCCTGTGCATCGATGCCACCAAGTCAAACTCGGCGAATAACAGGAGGATCTTTTGCCACAGCCACCTTCCTCCGAAGACGATGGGTTCGCACTCGCTGGGCAAGATGCCCGGCCAGCCCGGATACTAAAGCCAACACAGCGGGTATTTTTGTGGCGTCTGCTGCACACTTTATATATATCGCTTGAAGAATCACGCCCTTTTACATGTTTATTTTCTTTTGTCCTGCCATATTCTTATTAATGGGCACGAGCCTTGAGTCTGTTTTAGATCAAGTTCTGGTATGGGCTTTAGCATGGAGCCCTTTTCTGGCGTTGCAGGTGGCGGTGTACATGTTGATGGGTTCTCCTGTCTGCTTTTGTTTAAAGGAAATTGGGGAGGCGAATCATCTATAGGTGAGGCGGGGAACGGCGTTGGAACGGAATGGACATTCGCTTCGAGCATGAATGAGCCTGCTTTTCGTCGTATTTATACTGTCTTTTTTGTATACGTTATGGCCTGTGAGCAATGCAGCTCAGGATAGGCGGATGAAGTTGTGTAGCACAATACAACAGTTGCAAAAATGACTTTGGCAGTGCTGATGAAAGTGAGGAATCCGCCTTGAGTGGCTGCATGATGCGGGATATGGTTCTTGGTACTCGTGTAACAGCTCAAGGTAGCTGACAAGGCCTAGGTCATGAGCCAATGGCGCACAACGAAACTTGACTCAACAAGAGCCGGCCGATCTATCCGCGAGCAGCCTGGCATGTCAAATCAATACCTGGCGCGTAACTAGTTAGGGCCGTTGCGGGCTTGCCGCCTCTGGTCGATGCCGACGGGCGCGATGGCGATTGGCAGCAAGTCGGCGCATCTTCGGACGGGGAAGCCGGCGACGTCACGGCCGCACCCCTACGATAGGAAAGGCAATATCTATTGAAACGTGGGTATATTTCAATCAATGAGGTAAAAGGGTCCAATCGCAGAGCGGGGAAAAGGGTGCGTGCGCGGGCATGATCAGAGGGGGCGGCGGTGTCTGTTTCCGCGAGGCATTTTCCTTTCCTTGGCCCAGGTTAAACCATCGGGTGCCAAGGGTACTATGGTGTTGCCAAGGAGAAACTAACTACCTAGTAAAATGACCTTGATACTTGCGGCAAGTTATGCGTGGGCCAGAGCAAAGAGAGAGTCATGGCTTCTTGTGATGCGTGGGGGAAAGGAAGGGGCGTTGGGGAGACTGTAACGAGGGGAAATCAAGCCGAGATTTCTCGCTTTTTGCAGGAATGGTAGGATGAAAGGGTGGCCATGATGGATGAGATGTTATTAGAAATTGCCAATCGGCCCATGTCACCCACACCAGCGTGATGAAGGAACCCCAACCTTGACGATTGGCTGCAGATTCTGAAACATATTCTAGAAGGGAGGATACTCGTATGTAGGTTCTTTATTAGTTTATCAAGTCATAACGTATTCCACTTTTTCGTCGCAACTAGAGTATAGACATTGGACCATTTCAACCACAAGGCCCCTTTTAGCAGAGCTGCTTACACCTCATTGGCGCAAGTCTGTCCCAAGGCAGATGACGTTTTACGGGTTTCCAGGGATGTCCCACATGCAACATGGGCGCATGAACGGATGGACCAAAAGGGCCATGAGAAACATGAAAACGGAGGCAACATGAAGCGGGCCGTACAGGTTCCGAGAGACACATGAACGGTGCCCGATGTCAGCGTTGCGGTGCTTGGTGATGCAAAAGGCAAAGGACCCGGAAAATTGGTGAGTGGGATGCGGTGCTTGGATATAGATTGTAACATCGGGGCATGATGGTGATGGGAGGGCATGGAAAGACGAGTCGAGTCGTTCCGAGGATGAAAAGAGGCGGCACGTACGTCGAGTACATAAAGTTGGCGATGCCGTCGCTTGAGTCTCCCAGTCAACTCGGCAAGCACCTGTACACTCTCTTCTACATTCCTTCCTCAAGACCCCCTGTCCCTACCGACAACTAATAAAACAATGCTGGCCATTGCCCTCTTCTCCGCCGCGCTGGTCGCCGGCGTCCACGGCGCCGACGCCAACACCACCACAGTCGCCACGACCTTTTCCACGACGCCCGTCGTCGCCGCTCCCACCACCGCTCCGGCCGCGCCTGCCGCTCCGGCCGAGCCTGCCGCGCCGGCGGAACCCGTCTCGGTGGCGGCGCTGCCCGACAACTACACGCTCTTCAAGGGCGACGGGTCCACGACGCAAGGCTGGCCTGCCGTGGGCGACTGGGGCTCGTTTGACGCGCTGTGGCAGGCCAACGCGCCGCTGATTGCGCAGTCGTGCTCCAACCACAGCTGGGGCGCGGACAATTCCGAAAAGGAGACGTGGCAGCTGCGCACGGCGATTGAAGCCGCCGCGGCCACCAACAACATTGACCGGCGCTTCGTCCTGGCCACGGTGCTGCAGGAGTCCAACGGCTGCGTGCGCGCGCCGACGACGGAGAACGGCGTGCGCAACCCGGGCCTCATGCAGAGCCACAACGGCGACGGCGACTGCGCCACAAAGGACCCCTGCCCGTGGGAGCAGATTACGCAGATGATCAATGACGGCGCTGGCGGCACAAAGGATGGTGATGGCCTGCGCCAGACGCTCGCCGCGGCGAGGAACAGCACAGGCAGCAAGGAGGAGAGGATGTTTTACGCGGCGGCGAGGCTGTATAATTCGGGCTCGGCCGACTTTGAGAAGCTCGGCGATCCGGTGGGCGCCACGGCGTGCTATGTCAGCGATATCGCGAATAGGCTCACCGGATGGGTCTTTTCGCCGTCGGAGTGCCGCAAGCCGGGCGTCGTGCCGTAAAGGGCGAGACTGGGTTGGCACTGGTGTATGCTGTTGGGGCTTGCCATGGTTATGTGCTGATGTTATGTCGAACTATGGGCGAGGAAAACGATTAGATGAGAGTAGAATTTAGAAAGACAAATGGCTTTGATAGCCTTTTAGGCGATATATCGCTGTGGCCTGTGATTGCTTCGTGATAATAGGAGATGGTTGAAGAGTACATGCAATTGGCGTGATGACGGGCGAACAGAACTGACAAAGAAGATGCAGTCGACGAGGCTTCTCAGCCGACCGCCTTGTCTAGAGGTGTCCTGTCCACGTTGAGATCCATCTGCATCACTCTCTTGTGCCTCTTACAGAAGTGAGGATAAAGTCAACCGACGACAAAGTCCAGGGCCAAGAGCCGGTTTCAGGAAGGAGAGTGTGAGATGGGGAAATAATTAGTAAATTAAATTATAAATGAACACGGTCGAATGTGTCATTTCTGGTTTAATCAACCACAAACCGTGTAACCGTGAGAAAGGTGAACCTGCAACACAAGCTTCCAACTCCCTTCCCGTCTGACTTTTCCATTACTCTGTATCGAGCAAGATGAATATCTGTTTCCATAGAATTCTCGACATATCCCATCACATTTACTTTGCTTTCCCGGTCACCTTCGGGTACATAATTCGTACGGCCAGCCAGCCCCCGCCAATGAGGCTGTGCAGAGTCCAGGATGTGCGACGAGGGGGATCAATGTAAGCGCCCAAACCAAGTGCCGTGCCTGAGGCAATGCAGCTAGACGAATAATTGTCCAAAGTGGTAGTCACGGAAAATGGCCGACGAGGTTTTTACACTGCCGTAAAGCGCTACCCTTGCTTGGCCGCCCCAGCACGCCGACCGGTTCGCCGACCATGAAGATCCCTGATTCTCCTCGTCCCTGTCTCCGACGATTGCTAGTTCCTTGGCGGTGAGTAAGATGAGCAGGGGAATAGGATCAACAAGCCAATAACAGCGCCCGATCCGTTCCGATGCTACGCTTCGTCCCGTTTCGTGCTGTGGAGAGAACCGGCTCGGCACCGCGTTGCCGAACGGGCGTTGTGGCTGTGAAGGCGAGCCCCCTCCCCCATATCGTTCGGCCAGCGACAGACTTGCTCGAAGCGCCTTTTGCGACGTTGAGTTTGTGACGAGGCAGGTGACTGGGAACCTATCACGAGAGAGATATGAAAGAGAAGGACAGTCTGTGAAACACGAGAGACTGTTGTCGCCAAAGAAAGGGATATAATAACTCGCGGCTCGCCCTCTTAGAGGCGAGAGATTAAATTTTGTTGAATAAAATCATCGTTCAGCATAGCCCCAGTTATTACAGCCAAACTCAATCTGTATTACAACCTTCTTTTTCCCCCATCTTCTTTGAGACTTTACCACCCCCGCGGCTTACACAATGGGTCTCATCGGCGGCGCGATCAAGCTCATCATCATCCCCATCCTCTTTGTCGTCGCCATTGCCGTCCTTGGCGGCATCTACATCAAACACCGCAGGAGCAAACGGACGATCCAAGACGTCGACCAAGCGCCGTTTCCCCCGCCGCCGCCCGTGTCGGTAGCGCCGCCGCCGCCGCCGCCGCCGCCCGTCTACGCGCCGAGCCCGCTGCAGTACCAGCCGTACACAAGGCCCGCGCCTGTGCAAGGGCACAGCTAGTTTCGTCGCACGCGCGGAAAGACAAGGGCGCGGAAAAGGGTCTGTGAAGGAGGACAAGAAAGATAAAGAATGGGCTTGACGCTGAGTTGGGGCGCCGTGCGTGCTGAGAGAGGTGGCGAGAGGGAGAATAAAGGCTGGCAAGATCCCACGTCTTTGCACAGCTCTGCGATATTACACTGTCTATAATACTCAAATAGTCTACTCTACGTTATATTGCAGGCCACGCACATCCAAAGACGACTAGGAATAATTCTGTACAAAATTGTCTTGGTCAGTATAGTCAAACCGTCCCCGGTACGTCGTTTCATTTCTCCATCCCTCCCATGCGAGCTTGATTGCAGCCGTTGGAACCCAAAACGGTCTTTGGAGTCCAGATAGGTCTCTTTGCCATTCTCGGGATCAAATTTGTTGAAGCTTGGAAAGTTGCTTTCATAGTGGACTTGCCATTAGACTCTTCTGTTCTCGAATCCGACAGCAGCGTCACCCAGATCATCCCCGACGATGTTGCTCTTATGATTCCTATCGCGGTACTATGCCTCGATTCTAATCATCTTCGTATTAGAACGGGATTGCCCTTGCCAGTCCGGCCTCGAGTCTAGCCAAGAACCCGTCGATGACCGCGCAGAGCTAACGACTAGTATCAGGACAAGGTCGACGAATCACGAATCACCACCATCGCTCTCGAAAACATTTACAGTATCCCACGCTTCATCTTCTTGGACATACTCGAGAACCATTGCAAGCACCAAAGCCGTCAAAGACGTCTCGAATGCAACATTCCTGCTCCGCTTAAAACAGTCTGAATCGTCTACTTGCCCCCGATATCTCCCTGTCCATCTCTGCCGAGGCTGATCTTGCCACCTTTGCAATGGAATATTATCACTACTTCAAACCAGGGCAATTTATGGCAACAGAGAAAGCCGTGGGCATTACACTGGGTATTATTGGCATAACAGCTCTAGGCTTGGGTGCCTGCTACCTATCAAAACGAAGATCCATGTCCAAGACAAAACCGCCGGCGGACGCGTGAGCTGCCAAGCCCATCCAAGTTTCGCGGGCGAGTCTGTCGTCTGTATTTTCTGTATTTTCTGTATTTTCTGTATTTTCTGTATTTTCTGCATTTTCTGTATTTTCTGCCTTTCTTTCTTGCAACGCTCAGGAGTCTTTGTTATCGCCGCCCGTTTTATTTCTTTTTGTTATTCTCTTTTACTCCTTTTCTGTTCTTTTTTGTTGCGCCGATTTTGTCAGTTACTACCTCACTGATAGAATCATCAATCTACACGTTACTTCCATCAGCATATGCAAGCCCACGTCTGTAGCCCCACGATCTTGTTGACTGTAAATTTACCTAGTCTTGTTCTCGTATACAGGTCAGAACTGGACCACGGTGATAGGTCCAACAGGGTGCCCCCATAAAGGTACGCGCCAGCCGTAGTGCAAAGGTACAAGAAGAAAGGAAAATAGTAGATGGAATATAATACCTGTGATGGGCTAGCCCGGAGGGTTCCAGCGGCTACCAATGCGGCTGTCACAATTAGCCATACAGCCGAAATCCCTATGCCACGGAAGGCAAATAGATTCGTGAGAACAACACTGCCGGTATTATCACTCGGTTACACTTCGAGGTACGCGTCAAGCCACTAGAAGGTGCTGCACGTAGCCTAGCCCGTATAATGTACAAAGGCCTTGCCTCTATCCTTGCTTTACTTCTGCTTCTTTGTTCCTTCTCCTCCCCCCCTACACGCGTGCGTATACCTGCTAACCGCCCTGCTTAACTGTGGAACCAGAGAGGGAGTTGTACTTGGAAAAGGAGCGCTTGGAAGGGGGAATTTACGGCGTGCGCGTGTTGAGAGCGACATATAAAAGGCTCGCAGTCCGCCCTCAGAGGATATGCTGCGTTGAAGATTCTACATTGTTCCAACAAGATCCCACGTCTCTGCATAATTCTACAGCATTTTACAGTTTATTACAATTGGATCGCCAACTACACTCTCTACCATTCTTCCGGCATTCTCTACCATTCTTCCGGCATTCTCTACCATTCTTCCGGCATTCTCTACCATTCTTCCAGCATTCTCTACCATTCTTCCAGCATTCTCTACAAAGGTTCGAACGCCCCCGGTTTTGTGGTGATGATCGAGCCTAGAGGCCTCACCAAGGCAGAAACTATTCCCGTCGTCTTCTTCGGCGTCTCCTTCGGGCTCCTCCTTTGTACTTGCGGGGTGGCGTGTATTCGTGATAGAATGCGACGAGTAAGGGGCAGAGGCGACCCTACTTCTGGCAGCGCTCGAGACCAGGCATCGAACTCGGTTGTGCCTGGCCAGAGCTAACAAACAAGTTTTCAGGACAGAGGCCGAGACAACGACAACCGCCAGTACCCCCGCTTGCCATCCTTATTCTCCTTCAAGTTCAAGCCCTTGGACATCCTCGAGGACCATCACAGCACTAACAGTGCCGCCGAATCGTCCGCTCCACGTCATCTTCTCCTCCATCGTTCTGTCTGGGTTTGAATCCCCGCACTTCGGATGGCAGAAGAAAGCGACTGGACCCAACTCGGCAGAATTCTCTGCTATTGCTTTCTTGGTCTCGAAGGTTGTGTGATCATCGCAATTCTCAGCCGCTTAATCCCCGACTACTTTAGCCAACGCAAGGCCCGGGCCAACTACGCCATCCCGAAATAATCCTGCGTCATCTTCCTGGTTATTGAAGCCAAATAGTCGACTCGGTTGTCTTTTTTACCATCTCTACACCGGTGTGAGAAAACTGCTTTCAGAATGGTTACTGACCTCCCCACCGATATCAAGATCATGATTGTCTTGCTTGTTTTATTTATACCGGGGATTGTCCTGCTGGCATGTCTCTCGCGCCGTTATTAATAAAATGAAACAGTGCTGGTCCCTATCTGGTCAAGCCGCAGGGCCTTGAACAAGTTTTGCGCGCCTGAGTCTGTCGTCTGTCGTCTGTCGTCTG